TTTACATTATTAAAAGTCTTTAAGTAAAATTCTGTACATGATACGCTTAAGTATTTCTGTACTTACACTTTTACAAAGCCATCAGGCTGAAAGGACATTAAATACATTCAAAAGTGAACAGAGAAGCAAGGGAGCCATGAACAGAAAGAAAACGTGTTTCAGTTCATACAACATGACACAAAGTATTGCACATTTTAGAACCTGAAAGCCACTACCCAGTTATAGGCCTGAACTTGACACCAAGTTCCTATGAGAAAGCTAGTTACCCCACAGCCAGGTTCTCCACACTTTTACTTGGTACAGCCTTAAGTTCACTTGTCAGACTTACATCTGTGACCTGAGAGCTGACAAGACAGGTCTTCTCAACCTGATAGTTCGTAAGGATGAATGACATCTGTAAAGCCTTCTGTCCACTGAAGGCACTCAATACCCTAGAATGGCATCAGTGGCCTACAGTAGCAGTCGCTGAACCAAGAGCGCCACCCACTATGAAGCTGTGCCGTCATGAAAGCAAGTTTAAGGACCTACCCTCAGCAAATATTAATCTGGCACTTTAACAGCCTTGCAAAGCTTAGTAGGCACTAACAATACTGCAACTCACCTAAGCAAGCCAACACAGAGCTTTGCACAAACATGAGGTGTTTCTTAAACTGTCATTGTAACAAACATAGAATTTATAATAGGTACAGTTAATCATCTGTGAAAAGTGTATGCTCAGCATCCATTTAAATTGTAAACCGGTAATAAATAATACAGTATCTCTGAGCACATTTTAAATCATACATTATGAAAAAAAAAATTAGTTTCCAGAAAAGCTTTCAAACTTTTTGTTCAAAAACACATTTAACCAATCCTTTATAAACAATTGCAGCCAGTTTGCATGCCTGAAAATTTTGATTTATGAAGCCCTCCTGCCTAGTGCGGAACACTTACTTGCATTAACTTCCCTTCCTTTTTTTCCTTATAAGTTAGATCAAGTAAGAACTGAAGTCACAAATTGCTGAATGTAGCAACTAGTTAAATTATAATTTATTGTAATGGTTATAATTTGTTTTCATTCAAGTTTATTTAGGAAACATAAATATCCAAATATCCACTAAAGTAAGCTACTATGAAGACTGCAAATACCACAGTCGGTATACAATAGGTAGACCTAGGCTTAAAATGCATGTATTTCTGGGTAAGAAAAGGCAGGTTCCCTTCTTATCACAGAAAAGGTCTCCGTGCACCTCCCTGTTAACCAGTGGTTGCAATCTGTCCATTGGCATGAACCTGGCTAAACATTACATTTGATGGGCATTAGAAGCAGCACACTGCACCGCTTCTCCAAGGCCATTAATGTTGAGCTACACTATTGGGATCAGTGTGGCACAGCTATCTTGGCGTACCAGTATTTCAAGAATTACAGGCTTAGAGATAGTAATTAAGATAGCTGACTGGAGCAGAAATGCCCTTTCTGTAAGACACCCTTTGTGCAGAGATCCTCCCAGCTGCTCTCATGAGCTCCCTATGCAGAAGGTACGAGAGCATGTTGAGCCTCCTCTCTTTTCACATCCGCTCTAGTGGGAGGTGAAAGAAATTATGTCTATCAACTACTGTACACAATGGCCTCAGTGACCCTCTTGGCAGCTAATGTCATATTCCTTTGTACTCATATTCCATATGCTCATATTACAGCTTCGTACTCCTTTGTACTGCCCATGCCCTAACGCCAGGATGTGGCCTCTAAGACATTCTGGCTGAGTTGTGAAAAAAGGCGGTTCACCAAATCTGTCCAGTGACAGCCCTTCCCACTGGGAACAGTGTATGAGTGCTGGGGGGAACCTCAAGTAACCCAACTGTTTTCAGCTGAAGTCTATAAAAAGAATGGTGTGTTTATGTTACTATCAATAGTAGGAAGTGTCACCTGATGAATGGAAATCTCCTTCCTAATGCCTATTCCTATGTATTATCATCAAAAAAGATTCATCAGGTTACACTCTATATGAATCCATTCCAGAAGGCATATAACACAAGTGAGAAAACACTTTTACACAAACAATTTTTTAAAAACTACATAAAAACATTAAACACATTGACGTTTGAATACCTTCCTAATCTTTCATAAACAGGATTTCAATGCTTTAGAAAACTAGAAATATTGCAGAAAGATAAAAAAGACAGGTGTCAAAAAAGCTGGAAAGAGAGCACCACATGAAAATCATACTTAAGTTTTTCTGTCCATTTAACAAGCTAATTAAATGTTTTACCGTGATCTGTTGTTTAAGTACACTACCTAGGACAAAATCCTAGCCCATCTGAAGTCAGCGTAGGAGGATTTTACCTGCAATTCCCACTATCTTTGAGAAAATAGGGAAACAAAAGGTATACACTGAAGCTTCAGTGAAATCCTTCAATCTCAAAAAGAGGAAGAAAATAACATGTTGTCTTTTTTTTTTTAAAGTATGTGCCATGTTAACTAATCTACATGGCAATCTCTCTGCTCTATGAAGCACTGAATGCAACACTCTGATTTTTAGCTTTACTTTTATTCATTTATCATTTAGCAAGACTCTTATGTAGCTGGAAATAATTTTAAAAAATTGTATAATTATCTTGTACACTGTTGCTTTACAGAGGTGTGAACCCAGGATTTTACCAAACAGTGTTGTATTTTTTCATGTCACATGTACAAAAGTGACTAACATACAATAATATCCTTAGGCCATAATGAAAGCCTATAATACAGTATTATAGCACAGGTATTCCTATCATTACAGGAATAGCATCTGTGGGATACACTAATTTGATCAAGGATTTCAAAATCACATTCAAAAAGCATCCAATGCATTTTCAAACAATTGATAGCTATGGTTTTCAGTGAGCTGCCCTGACAGTAAAAAAAGAAGACGCAGAACTTAATCTCAGTTACTCATATTTCACCACACTCTTCTGCTTGCTAATTGAGAAGTATTTCTAAAAATTGCTGTGATGTTCCTCATGGATCGAAAAGCAAGTGAAGTTTATAAAACAGTACTTTAAGAACTTTGGATAAATACAACTGCTAGTTTGAACATGTATCACAACTATTTTGTGATTCAGTGTTGTAAATCTAGTTAAACTTTTAATAATTTTAGCTGCATATAAACCAGAGAAGTAATATGTTAAATTATAGCACCTTGTGTGAAATTTGCTCTAAAATATACAAAGAATACACCTTTTATTAAATACAACTATTCTATCTCGAGTCCACTATGTACCTGTCAAAAGGAAACTAATTTACATGTAATGAAGATCTGCATAAATATCACAAATTCAAGGCACAAAACAGAATTGGGAAGTTAGGGATGTAGTAAATCCTTGCTTTTTCATCAAATTAGCTGATAGACCAGAAAAAGGCATATCTGCAGTTTTAAAAAAAGCTGTATTATCACAGCATCATTGAAGCTAAAAATGGAAACTGCCTATTCAAGTATGTAGTTCAAACTCTTGCCAAAGGAAGATTATCTTCCACTATTGCATTACACCTAACTTAAAACCTTCCAAGAAATTTTATGCATCGACAAGCACTACTGTGTCATTCCATAACCTAATTGAGCTCACTGGTAGGATACTTCTCCTGATACTCACTGGATATTTATCTTGTTTCAAATTTATATTATCAGTTCTAGTTACACCTTCATATTTAGATACCCTCTTCCTTTACATGCGTTTGTCATATAATAAAAAATTACACGCTTAATGACTCAATCTTCCCAACTTCTTTTTCACTTCAACTAATTTTGTTACTGTTCTCTGACCTTTCAGAAGACTGACTCAACTGCTCGCCTATGAGGTACCCAAAATACAAGGCTGTACTCCAGAAATGACCTCAGCAATCACAAGGAGTAGTCCGATCTCTAGCTGCCTAGTGCAGCTCTTCTGTATGTATACTCTTCTTCTGACATTAGTGATACCACAAGCAACTTTGTTGCTGACATTATCAAGGCTTCTTAGTTTATTATTACATGTCAATCTTCTCTCTCTCCAAGTATCAAAGTTTCCTCAAATGCATTACCTTTTCACTGAATCTGATTTGTTGGACCTCTTCCACTCAGGTATTGCATAACATAATATCATCAGTAACTTTTATTACTATACTGTAGATCCCTCTCGTAGGTTATTGAAGACATTAACTGGAATAAATTCAACACAGTATAAACAATGAATGTGGAGGGAGCAATTAAAATTGCACAATGGGATGCCTCAAACCACAGTTTATATTTTAAGATGCTATTTTGAATACATTTTACACCACTTAGCTATTTATAAGAAGTTAAACATCTCATTATTGCTGCAGTTTCTAAACGCAATACCATAATTTTTCAGCATACATAATTAAATGTGGAACAGGAAACATGCTGACAACAAGTCTTCCTCTGCAAACAAGTCTCATTCCAGCCACTGATCAGAGAAAGGTAGGCACATCAGGTCTACTCCTCAGCACACACCTTTAACCAATTAATATTATGTCTATTATCCTACATATCTTTAAAAGTACAAATAAAAATACAAGGAGATCTACATTTACACTGACAATCAAGAATTCAGCTCCTTTAAAAAGTCCATCTGGAATCCTGCAGTGTGATCCTGTAATTCAAAGAACGTTGAACAACATGCTAACTGTACTTATAACTGGAAAGGTATTATTTAATATAAAGCTTAAGTAACATTTAAGCCATCTAGTCTATGAAAAACATCATTACCTAATTTATGCTCTGCTTTCCAGAAGACTCACTTTCAGCGCAACTTATCAACTCTCCTTCTGTTCTTGATGATGACTACAGGTCATAACAGAACTTTCAGAGTAGAAAGCACAGTAGCCAACTATTTCAATTCTTAAAGCTATTTGTCAACCTATTGAAAGTAAGAAAATAATTTACCTGAAGAAACGAACAATTAAAAATCAAAATTAAACTAAGGATGAAAAGGTAAGTCTGAAGATATATTAGCTGTAAAAATCATACAGTCCGTGCTGTTTTATGCAGAGTTGTTTATTCTTGTTCCATGTTCTAAAACTTGGACTCAGAATAATCATAGGAAGTTTTGGGGTTTTACCCTCTTTTTCTTCTTCCCCCTCATTAAAAGCACCATAGTTACACAGCTTGACTCAGTCGTCCTTTTCCACAATCACTTCTCCATGAAGCACCCTTCTTCTCTGCCGCAGCATGTGGAGGTAGAGTTGTGGAAATACTTGACCAAAGCACAAAAGAAAGCAAATGAGATTAAGAAATTCAACAGATCACTAACAGAAAAATGCAGTTTTGCAGAATGATGAAAAATAATGGCACACAGTGCTGCAGTTGGTTAAGGCAAATAATTGCAAGCCATGAATTCTGCAGTTAATTACAAAAAAAATAATTACCCAAAAGTCAGGCAAGGCCCCCTGAATGTACATCTTGTATTCAGGAAACATCCCTCTAGCACTTTCTTTTTATAAACAGGACTTAACCACTTTCTGGCAGTGTCTGAAGTCTTCAAATCTGTGCTAAGGTAAGTATGTTTGAATTCAGACTTTGAGAAGGACACAAATTTACCTACTTGTTCAAGGCTGAAATGAGCAGCTTACCCTTTCCTGGCTCTCTGAGATTTATTATACTACTGTTCTGCTGGTATATTTGATCCTTATATTTAATGGATAAAAAAATTGGATTTATTCCTGAAGCATTAAGTTATATAAACAACTGTAAAACTGTTAATAAATTAAGATAGCTTAGGACATTTTTTTATTCATATAAATCTCTCGTTTGTCTTCATGATTTCTTATGTCAAAAAAATTCAGTGTGTGTACAAACTGTGATAGTCCGTGTTTACGGTCAACTTCTTAAACTAATACCTTTTACAGATGCAGATTACACATCCTTTTAACTTCAATTTTCACATTTCTCAATGCATCTCCCTAATCTCTTGCCTCGTTTCATTATCCAGATTATCTAAAATACTCTATTTGCCTAGTTTGGTCTAGTACCATTCAAGGTGCTGTACCTGAATCAAGTTGCTTTCTCCTTGTCTACACTCTTAGGTGCTAGTGAAAATAACACTGGAAGTGAAAGACCAATAGTCTCTCTAATCTTAGCTCTGGTTAGCCAATTGGTCTGTGGCTTCTGGTGGCCAGAAGAACAAGGACAATCTGTTTAAACCAAGGACTGAAGTATGTTACATAGAGGTTTGGGGGATAGACTTCTGTGAAAATGAAATCTTGGAGAATATTGCTTCAAGTTTTTCCCAAGCACACTCAAATTTTCAGAGGCGACACAAAAATGGATATTAATAGCAATAAAATCAAAGCAAATCTCTGGCCCATCTTGTTGGACATTTTTTAAACCATTGCTTCAAAATGCCAGAGGCACTACAAATTCTCAGTTAGACAGCAACAGATATTTCTGCATGTAAGCAAAAAGTTTTTTCTACTTTGTCCAAGTCTTAGAAATGCTTTTAGCATTTTCACGAAAATTTTTAAGACAGCTTATGTTCTGAGGCAGATAACAGGATGGAAAATTTCAGTCTTGCCAATTAAAGAACAGCAAAGGTTGGAACAACCAAAAGCAGGCTTTTATAGTAGAGAGCATTCAGCAAGTTTAAATACAGGCAGTGTTTCCAGCAGATTATTATGCTGTTACCACTACTGCAGTTAAGTAATACTTACATGGAACATAGGAGAACATGACGATTATAAGGAAGTAATAGTAGTCAAAGGACACATTGTATTTGTTGGGAAGTCTCAGTGAAAACATTCCTGTTTTCTTCACATAGGGTAAAGCAGCATATATGGTTAGCAGTTCACCTGCAACTCCAGCAGGATACAAAATGATAAAAAAGTTGTATCTGCATAAAAAAAAAAAAAAAAAACAACAACAATTCTTAAGAAAAATAAAGG